GTTATAGCCCTGCAAAGTGTATTTACCAATTCCAAATGCAAGAGTAACTAGTGTGCCTTGTGCCAGCAGAGGGCGCTCACTATCAGCTTGATTTATGGCATGTCCTACTGACCTGTCCGTCTAAGCTAGTAATGTTCTGTTTCTTACTATAAAAATGGAGAACACTAGCGAGCAAAGCATGGAGCAAAAATGTCCTGAGCAGAAAATCGCACTTGCTATGTTGCCTATGTTAGCTTGTCACACAAGTAAGGCAAAGGAGCGACGGCACCACACACGAGCGGAGCTTATGGCCCCATGCCAGAAGCTCATAAAAATGCTATCATCAATAAGAGAGCAAGATTCATATGTAGATATGTGGCCCATTGGTGTGGTAAGAGTGAATGTCTGATCCTATAGTATAGTTGTTTTTCTGAGTGGTGACATATATCTGTACTATGTGATCTGATGAACTTTCACCACTGCACCATTGCTTCAACACCTGGCATGTCTATTATTAGGTATGCCACCCAACCTCCTACATTTCATCTCATGAAAATCTTATATTTATTGTAACTGCCACATACTGGCGATAGTCAGCTGATTAGAATCAATTACTGACAAAGAATCATGGATGGTCAGGATATAAATCAAATTACCACTACCTGGAAATACCACACTAAAGACAAACTGGCATCAACTTCTTGTTCCTGTAACATTCTCTTATCCCTGGTGATCACCATCTACATTACATATATATATATATATACATTTATATAGATGATATAGAGCTGAGGTGGAGGCTGTGGAATCATACAAATACCTCGGGCTGTGGCTGGATAATAAACTGAACTGGACAACACACACCAGCCACCTGTACGGGAAGACACAAAGCAGGATGTACTTCCTTAGGAGATTGCGGTCTTTCAACATCTGCAGCAAACTGCTGTGGATGTTTTACCAGTCTGTGGTTACCAGCGTCCTCTTCTACACTGTGGTGTGCTGCGGGGGCAGCATATCCAAGAAAGACACCTCCAGACTGATCAGGCGGGCCGGCTCTGTGGTCGGCATGAAGCTGGACTCACTGGTGACGGTGGCAGAGAGGAGGACACTGGACCAACAGCTGGACATTATTGACAATGCCAGCCACCCCCTGCACACCGTCATCAGCAACCAGAGGAGCCTGTTCAGTGAAAGGCTGCTCCTTCCCAAGTGTAGGACCAACAGACTCAAGAACTCCTTTGTCCCTCATGCCATCATACTCTACAACTCCTCACTCGGGGGGAGGAGGAAATAGGGTAAAGAGGAAGGAAGGGAAGGAGGAGTGGTAGCACTGTGCAATAATAATCTACTCATACATACCTGGACACTCTTCTTCTTTTTTGTGCAATAACTTAATCCACCACTTAAGTGCAATAATTTAATTTAACTGCTAATTTCTGCTAATGTCATTTATCCACTGTATAATAACACAATGCCATATACAGTCCTATATTTTATCTTTATTTATCTATATTTATCCTCTATATAGTTCTCTACATTTATCTTATTTGACTTTATTTTACTTGAATTTTATTTTACTTTTATTCTTATCTCTACTTTCTATATTTAGCTAAGAGTTCATTTTACTGTTATTGTTTATTCATATTTAGCTAAGAGTTTATCGTTTACTGTTTATTGTTTACTTTCTATATTTAGCTAAGAGTTTATTGTTTATCTTATACTGTATTTTTTATACCTCTTCTATTTTCTATACAAGTGTTTTGTAAGCTGCTGGAAATTCAATTTCCTTGAGGGAGTCATCTCAAAGGGGTCAATAAAGTGAAGTCTAAGTCTAAGTCTATATATATATATATATATATATATATATATATATAATTGCTGCTTAAGCTGTGCTGAATGATGCTAATTATTTTGCCGCTCACATTTGCTTAAGTTCCTGTTGACAGAGGCTTTCTTTATGTGTGAATGATACTGTTTGCCCTTGACTGTCTTAATAATACAACCCTGTAGAAATAAAATAACACCCTAGGAATTTTGCCAGCTACAGGAAATCACTGAGATGCGGCAATCTTTCATTTAAAACATATTGCTAGGATCACACTAATGTCGTTTTCCCAGCCTTAAAGCATTTAACCCTCTGTGAGTTGGCTCGCAGCACAATTTTTGGACTCATGAACTGAGATGGAAACGCTTTCTGCACCGAGCTGGAATGAAACCTGTGTATCGCTGTTTGAATCTCTATTTGTGGGGCAACTTTTTGTGGGTGACTTGAAGTAATTTAACCTTCAGAGTAATGTCACAAATATGGCAATGTAAGATACGGACTTCCAAATAGCAGTAATGGCAATATTACATATATTAGATCCTTGTTTATGTGGCAAAATGCAGGTTCCCAACACTGTAATTTATTTAGAAATATAGGAGTCTATTGGTAGAAATTAGCTGAATGGAAGCTGCATTTTCACACACAATATTTTCAAATGAAAATAGCAGTGCCTACCAGTTTCAGCCTGTCTACTCTCCCCATTATGTAGATCAAATAAGAGGTCAACACCACAGCCGCCCTCCTCTCTCCAGCCTCCTGGCCAAGGCTTCCTGCCGCTGGCCCAACCTCACCAGCCAGCTACCCTTCCAAGTCTCGGCATTGCTGCCACTCGGGCGATGAGGAAGTTAGAGGAGTTAGAGAGGCTCCTCACTTGCAAGGCAGTGGGTCCTCACAGCGTCAGCCTCAGGGTGCTCCGAGCTGTCAAATGCGCAGACAATGCTATCGAATACCAGCTCCACGGGCCTTATTCCCACCCGCAGAAGCTGGGAAGCAGGATGAGAATGATGTCCTTTCATTTCTCTGGCGCTTTCAACACCATCCAGCCCCTCCTGCTTGGGGAGAAGCTAAAAGCGATGCAGGTGGATAGCATGGTTTCCTGGATTATGGACTGACTAGCTCACTGACAGGCAGCAGTTCATCTTCCTCCAGGGCAGCGTATTGGATACACTGCGGAGCAGCACAGGGACGCCCCGGGTAACTGTATTGTCAGCTTTCAGCTTTTCAAGTTCACTCTCTACACCTCTCCTTTTAAGTTTCAAGTCAGGGTCATGGCAGCTTCACAAGTTATTTGATGACTCCTCTATTGTGCGGTGCATAGGTTAGGGCGAGAAAAGGAGAACGCAAGCCTGCCTGAGGAGTACTGGGGTCCAGCCTGTCACCATCCAGGGTGAGGGGAGTGAAATGGTTGGTTTCAGTGGCTCCAACAGACAGCTTAACAAGTTCTACTAATCAGTGCACATTTGTAATGGCTGAGAATGGAGACAGGATTAACAGCCTGGCTCTTTTCTCTGAGGGTGCACAGAGCAAAGGAGAGAAGATGAGGATGAAACTGAACTCCAGCGGTGATACAGCGCTCGCTCACCTTCCACCTCGTATACCCAAGGTGCAACAGCAAGCTGTTCAGCTGGTCGTCCGTGTCAGCAGTCATCAGACTGTGCAATAATTCTAGTCCAAGTAGCTCATATCTCAGCCAGCTTGGAGCCAGCTGAACTGCAGTGCCCTGCACTGACAGCTTGAGGTACTGAACGTGCAGCCCCCTTTTTATAGGCATGGTGATGTGACTACATTCACATTAGTGCTGCACATTCACATGTCTGCTTTCATAACATATCATTTGCAGATTGTAAAACTAAATAAGCAATCAAGACACTTATTAACATCTGTAACATCATACAGTGCGTTTGGCATATGTTGGAAATCACATCTTCACGTGTTCACAATTGTAATTTAACACATCGTTTTCATCTCCTCTCTGTTGTCTGTGATGATGACTTTCTACTATATGTATGTAGTTTTTTTTCTAATTTTTCTTTATTGATTCTTATTAGCTTCACTGCTGATCACTGCAGTATATATATATATATATATATATATATATATATATATATATAGTCCAATGCCAGGTGGATCCCCCATGACCCTCAAGGATACGATGGACTGTATGAGGACTGTATATAATTGTTGTATATATTTGTGTTTGTTTCAACAATCAAGGGAACTACAAATCTGAAATTCATTATTAAACCATGTGTTGTAAAATTACAATTAAATTAGCTTGTATCTGACTATTATGTCTACATATTGCACTATTCAAACCTTTTCCACCTGCATTACAGTCAAATAATGATGTGGCAGTTTATGTCTGCACATAATAGGCAATGTGATAAGGAAACACAATGTCTGTACAGTGTGTACAGTATGCATGCGTGTGTGAGTATTTGTGTGGGTGGGTTGGTAAAGCGGGGCCCTATCTCACATCCTTTCACTGAGATTCTGACTTTCTATCACCACCCCTGGTCTATTCGTATACAGCAAACGCACAACACAGTTTATAGGCGCAAATACATATCACAGCGAGGAGGGAGAAGATAAGAAAACACCATTACATGTGATAAAGACAGTAAAACCCTGCGCGGGAATATTATGGTCGAACTGGAGATATATATGATTAAGTGTGATAACACTGTAGAACCATGATAAGTCCTCATGAGAGCGTTATAGGATTTTTCTTTTACAGAGGGTAAACTGATAAAAAACTGCCAGAAATGTCTGTCTTCCGGAAACATCTCCTCAAGTGTAAGAAAACCAACGCAGCCCTGAAGATTAAAAGTCATCATTGCATTTGTGTCACATACTCAAACCAATCCGTGCACAACCCCTCCCGATGCTGAGTGTCTCAGCTCTGTGCATCCTCAACAACACATTAACCAGCCGAATCAATAACATTCAAGGGCAATGAGCAGGAGAGGCTGCACACACAGTTTTTAGCCTCATGCCATAACTTGTGAAGGGCACGCATGCAGCATGTGTAGTTCCAATTCAGAGGAAAGCCGAGCATTTGCGCGTCTTTAGACAGGTTATGGTGACCTTTAGTAACTCCTGGACCGTTGCGCTTGGTCGGTCTGTGTGGACCGACGCACGGGAGGAGACATCCTGATATTAGTGATGTGGTAATGAAATACAGTGAAAGACTTACTTTAAGACGGCGCTGTCCCCCTGTCTGACGGTGATGTTGTCCTTTAGTACAGAATCCCCGCTCCTGGCTGGAACTCCTGCAGGTACAAGGAATAACAATTTAAGTCCGAGGACGACAAGGCTTTTCCCAGGCAGCGCCAAATAGCCACAAATTCCCATGTTTTTCTGTCACTGCGCAACTTCCAGGAAAACTTGAACCGTCGGATATTCCCTTCTCGCGTCTTGAGCTGCGAATTCCGCTCCACGAACAAGATGCGCTGTCGCCTGTGCCGAGCTGCGGACGACCTGCTTTTTGCTCCAAGTAAACAGGCTGGTTATGAAATACTGTCCGTGTCGATAAACGCAAAGGGGGGGAAAGTGTCTCTCCGCCCGCCAGCCGCTCTAGGAAACTGACTTCGGAGGAGAGAAAAGCTCCGTGTTTGTGAGAGGACTGCGCACAGTCTCCTCCGCTTCAAACTGTAATCGCCGTGAAATGGATGCTCTCGGAGAGATGCATCAGCCAAGTCTCCTTGTGTGTGTTTTTCTCTCTCACTCGGTGTTCTCTCTTTTTTGCTTGTCTGGGAGAGAATTGTGCAAAGCTGCGGACACTCAAAGCAAAAGGCTGAATTCGCTCATGTATCTTTTTTTTTTCGTTAAGTAGGCTACAGCTCCTGGAGTACACACACACACACTCTCTCTCTCTCTCTCTCTCTCTTCTCCCCCTCTCGCTCTCTCTCTCGCTCTTAATCGCCGGGTAACGTGTATGAGGACCATATGGTCTCACTGTTCTCATATTCACAGGGGTTAGAGTAGGTCCCTCCCAGCTGGGGTCCAGTGTGCCATTACTGGGGTCTACAGGAGACACCCCTACTGTATTTAGCAACATGACAAATAATAAATCATTAAATGTGACAAACATACATGTGAGAGGATCATGTAGGTTGATGTAGTTTACACTAGTGTGAGCCTGTGCATGTATATAGAGATGGCGACGCTCATGAACAGACAGGGGCGTATCCAGACTTTGTTGACCGGGGTGCTCCAAGTAGGTCTCTGACTTATGCAGGGGTGGTGTGAGGTGTGCCCCCAATGCCTCGAAATAGCAATAATTCACTATTTCTTATCTAAACTTAATATATAATAAGCTGCAATAGGTAACTTTTATAAAAATATGTGAGAACTATAGCTGATTGTTGATTCCCAGGGTCCCAAAGTGTCGGTATTTGATGACTTGGGAATGAGACTCAACAATTAACTATGTTCCTTGACTCTGATTGGTTGTTTTCATTCAGGCCTGGGGGATTCTGTAGCAGGGGGAAACTGATTTTTTTCACAGATTATCTGTCAAATGTACTACTGTCAGAAAATGGTGAACGTTTCCACAAATATGGCAAAAAGTTATTTTTATAAAAGTTACTTACTGCAGCTTTTAATTCCTCAAAAATGTCACCCCAAAAGTAGGCTACTTACTAAATAAAATATTGCACAGTGAAAAATACAGTCACAGTAAAGTAGCAACAAAAAAAAATCATATCTACAATACATCACCAAAAAAAGGGCTATAGTGAAATGTCACAAAAAGTGACTAAAACAACTAGCTGCCTCTTGCAACACAATCCAAGATACATTAGCAGTCGTCCTGGATATTTTAAACACTTTCATAAACAAATGTCTGGTTTACACATCAAACAGTTGGTTCCAATTAAGGTCCCGCCTCTGACCAATAGCCAACCATAGTTTCAAGACCCCCTCCAGACACGTATTATGACATATACAAATAGTCGGCTTGGAACAATAATGTGTGCCACATTAAATTTCCACATTAAAGTCCTTAAAAAGTCATCTCCTCCTTCTGCCTCATTAAAACTTCCAGAATCTCTGAATATGCAAATGTTGTTTATTTCTAAAGTTTTGCTGCTGGGCACAAGATGTCTCCTACTTCACTGTAAAGTCCATTCTCAGTGGATGTGCACTGGTGGCTTCAAGTTTCTACATCACACTGTACAAGTTGATACTGGACCAGGATGGACTTCCTAACTATTTGTGATGTCACAGATCATGCTGGTGGGCCCCGCCCCTTAAAATCAGATGTTCAATGAGCACAGAGAAACTTTCCATTTTCAGCAGATGAATGTGAAAACATCCTTCACTTCACAAGCACACAGGGGCCCAGAGGTTACAAAACAAAATTAGGAATTGTTCAATTTGACAATAATTATATTCACTTGAAAGAGAATGAATGAATTATGACTCTTTTTGTTGTGCTGTTGAATTATTTAAGATAGAGGTCCAGTATGTATTTATTTGGCTACCATGATGTGAAAAGGATCGAGGACCCCTTATGGTGAATTGTGTAGAAAATATTTGCCATCTTCCTTAAGAATTTAACTCTTTAAACTATGGAATTACTTTGGAATATGTTCAAATCCAGTTTCAAGACATTCATTATGTGAGTTTTGTGCTTATGAATGTTGCATATTCCCACATCGCGTGTGTGTGATCAAGTTATCAAACAGAAAACGTGGGGCCATGATGAAGGAAAAGTGTAGACTGTCAGCTGTGTGTTTGCTGTGAGGTGTGAATGAAGAGGAGTGAAATAAGAGGAGTGTGACATGCTGTAGTCTAAACAAGGGAATTCACTTGTTTCAACAAGTCGAAAATCCTCAAAAAAAGTAGTTCATTTTATTGACATGTTGTCCCATTAACCTCTGCATGGAAAGATCTGTATTGATTGATTCATTTAAAGCTTCATAACTTCCTTAAAGACTTTAAAAAGGCAGACACCTTAATTGTTTTTTCTACATTCTCTCACTGTGCTTAGTTGTAGTAACATTCTGTAATGACCTCTAAACCTTTTTACAGATTACTGGCCCCCAGGCTTTGCTTTTGTAAGGTGTCATTTTATGCAAACTTATAAGGTGGATGATAGGTAATTTATTCTGAAATGTTCAGTTCCTTTGTTTGTTTGATGGATAGGGTAAGGAGGAGAGTAACTTTTAGGGAGAGGGTTCAAGTTAATGAGAGTCTGAACTTCAGTAAACCACACTGACTTTGTTTACTGATGTGCTCCAGCGCTGTCTCTTCCCGTCATTATCTGTATGCACGGAGGGGACACCGGCCACTGGGGATGAGAGTGGCACTTTGCATCTAACAGCAGCCCTTCAGTCTCACGAGGAGGCTGAACAAGATAATTTCTTTACCTTAACATCAATTTGGCGTGCCGTTAAGATATTGGGATGGCGACAGACAACAATGCGCTGACAGCTTTGGGTGCCATCAGTGGGGAGGATACAAGTGACACATGGCATTGTTCTCGTCTGGTATCAAGCGTTTGCGCAAGTATGACAGCACTAACGGCTTGTGTTGGTAGGCTACACAGTCTGCGCTCTGTTGTGCGTTCGTCAATCTTGTCTCACGTGCAATTGACTTCACAGTAAACGCCTTTCTCTTTACAATAAACACACTAAGTGCACTGCACCACACAGTGCCAAAAAGACAATTATATCTTCTAGCAGGTGTGAGGCTCTCTTAAGGTTTTATTGCCCACTTTCTGAAGGTCTCAAAAGTAGAAGACAAACTTCAGTGCAATGGAAGTGGACCTTGGGGTGTCATTAACAAGAAAATATATTATACACACTATCCTGTGTGTGTATCATGTTTTTTTCCATCATTTTAAGGCAGCAGCTAAACACCACACCACTCCTGATTAAAATGTACAGACTAACCTATAGGTTTAGGCATCATGTTGGACAGAGGTTCACAGGTCAATACTTGTAACGTATTAGCAGTTCATCCCATTTGCCAAACTGTTGTTCGGTGTATTCGGAGGTTGTTATTGAGGAATTATGATGATGTCTTGCGCCGGAGAAATTGGGCATAGATAAGACTTAATTAAAATGATATCTGCCTGGGATGCAACACAAGTCCTGACTGTGTGCACATCTTAATGGTTTTTAAATTAAAATCCCTTCCTGACCTCAGCAAAATCTAAGATATGTGGTCTTAATTAAGAGTCAAGGGTGCAGGGAAGGAGGTGGGCCTAGGCACTTGTTCTCAGTCGATTAAAGCTGCAACATTTGGTCATGTGATGCCCATTTTAACACCTTGGTATCAGTTCACCGCAAGGATAAAGAGGGTTTAATAATGGCACAATCAAGAGAAAGAGAGAGTCAGGTATGTGCAGTATTTTCAACAATCAGTGGTGTTTGGAGGATAAAATAAGACTGAAATCCATTTCAATCCATGTCATGTGCATTATGTTTTTGACCCTCATTGTTCTGCCTTACAGAGGGTCAGGTACATCCGATGACCTTGCCAAAGCTGCACCATGAACGAGGGTGCCAAGCGTGCAGAAATGACAAATTAGAATGGCATTGTTTGCTTCACGGCCCACATGAATCACTCTTGATGTATCGCACAAACAAGAATAGGAGGAGAGCAAAAGAAAAAAGTGAAACCTACGTGGCCTGGATCAACTTGCCCATGCTCTAAAATAGGAGGTGGGCATATTGATTTTAACATGCTCAAATGAACAAAGCCATTTCACCTAAATCAACGTATTTTTGATTGGCTACAGCCGTATACAGTCCAGCTCTTCCTGGCACATTGTGTTTCTCATTTATTTCACTTATACATGCAGTGACATTCACATAATTTCCTGCTGCGACGCATTAACACCAGACCCTGGGTGGTTTATTCAAACAATCCATGCTAATCTTCATTCATATCATGCAAGGATGGGCAGAGCTAGCAGACAATGGGCCGGCCTCTGACCAAAGCAAGCTAATACCCAAGCAAAAACATGGGTGGACTGAATAAAGAACGCTTGCTCAATGGATTCAGTCATCTGCAGAAGCTCAGATTCCACTGGCACACAGAGCACTGACGTTACGCAACTTATTCATGAGTGGCTGACATTCTGAGGTCAGCCCAGCAGAGTTTTGTGAAAGGTTCTGAAATGAGAAAGAACTTGGAAGTGGCAAAACAGAATGTGCTTTTGTGTTAGCTAATGGTTAAACTTATGATGTGTAGGATTTCTGCAATGTGTTGTAATGTTAAAATGTCTATAAGCACTAGAACTATGTTCTATATGTAGTTAAGTTGTGTACCTTCATAGACCCTAAAGTTCAAACTCAGAGAAATCTGTCATTTTATTCAGGTAACGCTGCGTTTCACTAGCCACCTGTCAATGGCGTCCCCTTTGTGCCTGCGTCAGCGTTGTGGTTGTCTGCCAGAAGCTGTCATACATTGACTTTTTATCCAGTTTGAAGCCAAATTTTTACCATCCACTGTTTAGATCTTGGTGCTTTTTAACTCTAGATTTGAACCGGATGAAGAATTGTAGTCATCGGACGTCTGGATCTTAAGTTATCAGAGAAACAAGCTGAGCTAACATTAGTGGCTGATGACCAGCGTAGAAGAAACGGGATAATTCGACAACCAGTTAAAAAACGATTTTAATCAGCTGACGGAATCCTAAGAAGAAGAAGAAGAAGAAGATTACTGCAATGACGGCAACAGTGGTGAAGACTATGACTCCCACTATCCCACGCTACTTCATGGTGTCAACAAACTTTGCCTTTTGTTAGTTTTGATGCGAGAGACCCCCTAGTGACAGAAAGGTCACCAATCTTATGTCTTCAATCTCCATTATGATAATGTAATCCTGGTTACTCTGAACACTCACTGTTAACTGTA